GGTGTCGCTACTTCTCTGGATAAGGTCCCACATTCCGCTTGTGCTCTTCTTCCTTGATGGTCCTAGGGTCCTTTGTTTCTGGACTGTAACATTAACCGCTCACCCACTTTTGTTACAACACTCTGCCTTCACAGTTGTGGCAGTCACAATTAGCCATTATAACAACTACTTGCTATTGAATCAAAAGAATCCTATCCCCATCTCCTTTCACCAGACCCACCTAGACAAGATGAAAACTATTCAGTGGGGATTCTACCTTCCCCAGCACACTCTGAAACTAAACCCCCTCTTGAAAATTTGTAAGCCAGTCACTTCATGTCTTTATAGCCCCTCCCTGCCACCCCCATTTTAGGTAGCCAATGTCTAAGTTGCCCATCGCTATCAACCCTGTATACCAAGGGGATAGTCTTGCTCCTTGATGTAAAGATTCCTTCCCTCTCGGTAGGTATTCTGAGCTACTACATCCATAAGTATCCTTTGTCAGATTTCCTTATCTTCCTCTAGTCGAGCTCTGATCATCAAGCCATTGAAGGTAGGTCACATGGGAATTATCTAGCAGGCTAATTTTTAAGTTGATAATTTTGTATGGCCTGCAAATGATACTATAGGCAGAAAAGGGTTCCCCATCCCTATTGTATAGGGTTTTCAAAGAGTGGCTGGTGAATTTGAACCACCAACATTGCTATTCAAACTGACCTTGCAGTCCAGTGCTTGTCCTACAGCACCACCAGGTCATTCGTCATTGTTGGTGTTGTTAAGTGCCGTTGAGTCAGTTCTGAGTCAGAGAAACTCTGTATAGGGTTTCAGAGGAGTGACTGGTGTGTTTGGACTGCCGATCTTGTGGTTTAAACCCATTTTTAGGTCCAGTGCATTTTCCACAGCACCACACCAGGACTCCACATTAGTCATTTGTTGTTGTTGTTGTTAAGTACCGTTAGTCATTAGAGAGGTGCAGATCAAAACCTCAGTGAGATACCATTTCACTCCCACTAAGATGGAGTCCTGGTGTGGTGCTGTAGGATAAGTACTGGACTGCTAACCACAAGGTTAACGTTTCAAACCTACTGTTCACTCCTTGGAAACCCTATACAGGGTCACTGTAATCAGAACTGACTCAACAACACTTAACAACAACAGGATGGCTAAGATAAAGAAAAGGAAGAAGAAAATAATGTTGGTGAGGATGTGGGGAAATTAGAATCCTTATCCATTGCTGGTGGGAATACAGTCTGTTGTGGAAAAGAGTGTGAAAGTTCCTAAAAAAAACTAAAAATAGAACCACCATATGACCCAGCAAGTCCACATCTAGGTATCTAGCCATAAGATGTGTAATCAGGGACTCAAAAAGAGACTGGCCCACCAATGCTCATTGCAGCACTATCCACAACAGCCAGCTTTGGCTGCAACCTACATGTCCATCAACAGATGAATGGATAAACACAATGTGGTACATACATGCAACGGATTACTACTCAACCAATAGAAGAACTGAAGTCTTGATAAACGCTACAGTATGAATGGAGCATCAAGACATTATACTTACTGAAATAAGTTCATCACAAGATGACAAATACTGTCTGACCTCACTTATATAAAAAGATATGCAAAGACAAGTATATAGAGACCAAAGTTTATTAGTGGTTACCAGGCGTGGGATAGAGACGCAGAAATGGGGTTGCAATGTAGTGAATTCTTTAATAGGGCTCTTCTACCTTATTAAAAGGAGTTCTGGTGTGGTTCTGTGGGTTAATGTGCTAGACTGCAAAGTCAGTTTGAACTGCAAGGTTGGTGATTTTAAGATAGCCAGTTGCTCCTCAGAAATCCTATACAGGGTCGCTATGAGTCAGAACTGACTCGACACACTTAACAACAACCGTATTAAATAATATGCAATTCCCCCCAAAGGACTTGTTTCCTGATGGTCTAGATTGGAAAAGGTGGGGGAAGATGCTAAAAGGATTGTATGTTTCAGTTGTGAGCAATTGTTTACAGAGTTCATTGTGATTGTAAAAACATGGAACTCTAATGTACGTATAAAATGAGCCATCTCAGAAGCAGGAAAGGGGATCTTACTACTATCAAGGAAGAAAAGCCAGAAGTGGAGTGTGTCCTTTGAACTCTAAGATCTCTGCACATTGAACCTCATCAACAATGTGACACCAGAGGTATAGCAGAGGAATCCAGGAGCCAAAAAGCCAGACAGAGCAGTGGGCTTCCCAGCCCATGGAGCAAGGAATGAGTGCCTTTGGACAAGAGGCTTGCTTGTGGAGCAAGGTGCCTCTAAGCACTTATTTGGGGAACTAGGTTTGTTGACCATATGGAGCACCTTCAGACTGAGGCTTATAGCGAAGTGGAGTGCCCTTTGGGCATTTATCCATGGTACTGAAAGAGCTTTGTACCATAGCTGGAGCAGGGCAGAGGCCAAGGGGCCATGGCTGAGAGGCCAAAGACCAGAGAGAGGGCTGCCTGAGGCCATGACTGAAGAGACTGTCCTGACTGAAAGAACTGTGCCCCGAGCATTTCCAGTCCTCACTTCTAACCTGTTAACTTCCCCAATAAATCCCGTAACTGTTAGTATGGTGTCTGAGTTCTGTGTGGCCATTTCAGTGACTCATTAAACCCTGCTAAGTGCAGAGTACTGTTGGAAGGATAATTGGTGTCAGATTTGGTATGAGGGAAGAAGGCTGGAGGCATGTCTGACCTCAGCCCTATAAATATCAAGCTTCGGGGGATGCACTTTGTTTCTCCTTCTCCTCGGAAAAAGCCAGAGGTGCTCAGATACTTCTCCCACCCACCCCTCCCCCCTTTTTTCAGGGGTTAATATGATGGAAGAACTGTACTGATTAAGAGTACTAGTTGTTGTTAATTACTATCCCGTTGGTTCCAACTCACAGGGACGGCCCTGTATATGGTTTCCAAGGAGCAGCTGCTCAATTTGAACTGCTGACCTTATGGTTAGCAGTCCAATGCTTATCCTAAAGCGCCAGGCAGTCAATTAATATAATTGTTGCCAATAAGTTGTACACTTGTAAAAAGTTGATTTGGTGAAAGTTGTATGATATATTCACAACGACAACCAGAAAAAAAAAAAGAGTAGGCTGCAGCTGCTTATGTACAACCAAGCACCTCAGGGGACTTGGTTCCCTGTGATTGCTCAGCTGTGCTCCAGCCTTGCCCTCAAATCCTTGTATCAAGGTTTACTTCTGGAGGAGTCTAAGATCCTGCCCAAATCCCTGCAGCCGGCTGCTTGGCAATCCTCTACCTTCCTTGTCCAGGTTCATGGCGACTAGCGACCTGATGTCCGAGCTACAGAAGAACTCCATCCAGCTGGATGAGGACAGTGAGCGCAAGGTGGTGGCGATGTTGCTCAAGCTCCTGGAGGACAAGAATGGGGAAGTGCAGAACCTGGCTGTCAAGTGGTGAGGGTCGACCTGGGGTGCCAAGGGAGGGCTCCTTTGGGGTACAGCTGCTGAGAAGTGTTGCTGAGGCCCCAGTGAAGACTGGGTTTCCCCAGAAGCAGACCCCAGGACAAGGATTCAAATATGAGTTGGTGTGGGCTGTGATCACAAGAAACACTTGTGGGAAGGTAGGGAGATGTCGGTGGGAAAGGGAAGGGGACAATAAAGAGTGTGGGGTCAGTGGAGCAAGTGACCTCTGTGGGCTACTGGAGCCAGCATACCTTGGAATGTTCCCGCCTTCAGAGCTGGTGCATTAATTCCCCAAGTCTCATCAGTCATTGGTTGAGAGCTGCTTCTCGGGTAGGTGGAGCGTTATGAATTCCCTGAACCCTTTAGCCAAAGAAAGTGTCCAGGCAGAGATGTAGGTGCCACATTTGGAAGTCAAGCTTGCCACCAAAGTGGAAGTGCTGAAGGGACCTGGGGCTCTAGCACCTTCTGCCCTAGGCACTGTGAGGTTGTAGTCCTGAAACTTAGAGTTGCCTCAGGGGAAGAAAAAACAAGACAGTGTGTATACAAGGCATGTGTCCAAAAGGGTGGGTAGGACACTGAGGAATGACAGGTAGTTCTAGCAGGGTTGAGGGGCCACAGGGTGAGAATTTGGTGTAGCCGTTGTGAACTTGGCCCAGTTCTTCTGGACTATTTTTCATGCAACTTAACTTGATTCCAAGAGCGGAGGGAGTTCAATAAAAGGTCTTATATAGGACGTGGCCTTATCAGGTTTGTGATCTGGAAGTATCTCTCTCTCTCTCTCTCTGGCTCTGGTTTCCCACTAGCTGAAGCAACACACTCATTGAGTTTGTAATATTTCTTTTCATATCATGGAACAAAATGTACAGATAAGATAACCTACCTATACATGTAATTTCCAAAAGGTGCTTCAAAAAACTTGTGGAAAAATGGAATTAAAAGATAATGGAATTTCTTTTACGAACTTTTTGAAGCACCCTCATATAATGCTCTAAACTGTGACATAGAGGAGAAATAGAAGGAAAGTAATTTAAAATAAAACAGCATGATTTCATTATGTAAATGTGTGAGCATGTTGACAGTGGAAATGACAATGAAGACATCAGGAGATACAGACTTGTCACACATGCCACAGGTGGGGTCTGTCTACTGAGGACCTGGCCTCTCGCACTGCCGAGATTTTCTGAAATGCTGAACTACTGGTAAAGTTACCAAGAAAACCAAGTACAGTATTCCCGCAATTTACCTTACAATTGCATTCTTGGAAAATTCAGTGTATATTAAAACAGAGCAAAAAAATTTTTTTAATGCAAAATGAAATGACATTTTTGACTCAGCTAATATAGAAAGGTGGTGTAGTTTTTTTCATATGAATGTCCAGGGGAATGTTAGAAAGTCTTGCAGGACATGGAACAGTGCTTTGTTTTGCAATTTTGTCTTTCTAACTTCTCTGGCCATGCCCCCTCCTATAAAAATTAGCCAGAATTACCACCTCAGTGGTTATGCTGACAAAAAAAAAGTCTCCCACAAATTTCCCAAAATGCTTCTGGAAGTATACAGTGGTTAGGATGAGTGTCCCCCGTGATGGAAGATGAGAGAGTTACTTAGATGGAGGAATTGACGGAGAAGTATGTGTAGAAGGCCAAAGTTTGCCAACTTTGGTGTGCTCTGGAATCACCCCCACCTAGCCCTGAGGGATTCAGATTCAGAAGACTGGAGGGCTGGGGGTGGAGAGGATGAGCATGAAGGCCTAGGTGATGACAGTGCCCAGCTAAGGGTGAGAACCAGGGAGGTTAGTGCAGCCCTTCAAACTAGAAGTCCATTCAGATCACCTAGGACCTTGCTGAAATTTCACAGATCTGATTCAGTAGGTCTGGGCAGGACCTGAAAGTCTGCATTTCTAGTTAGCTCCCAGATGGTGCTGATGATGCCCATCTCTGACTCTATGACCACAGTCAGGATAGAAGTCTTCCAAATGCCATCCCCAGATGAGCAGCAGCAGTTGTTACCATTGTTAAGTGCCACCGAGTCAGTTCAGACCCATAGTGACCCTGTATAGGGTTTCTGAGAAGCAGCTGGTGAGCTGGAACTGCCGACTGCGGTTCAGACTCATTTTGCAGTCCAGCGCATTAACCCACAGCGCCACACCAGGGCTCCAGCAGCAGCAGTGGTACCTGGGAACTTGTTAGAAGTGCAGATTCTTGGGCCCCACCCAGACTTCCTAAATTTGAAACTCTGGGAATGGGTTTCCACAGTCTGTTTGAATAAGGTCTCCTGGTCATTTTGATGCATACACAAGGGTTAATCATTGGCCTGATAACCCAAAGTCGGAGGTTCAAATCCACCAGCCACTTGGTGGGAGAAAGCTGTAGCTATCTGCTCCTATACAGATATACTGTCATAGAATCCCAATAAGTTGTTCTTGTCTGTCCTGCAGGGACAAGTGGGAGCCCTTGGTCACCCCTTGGGTTCTGGCCCAGGTTGCTGGATTTTATAACTGACCACATGCTGAGATGCAGGTTTGGGTGGTTTTAGGATGATGCTGGCATAATCAGCATTTATTTCTGGCAAAGCAGGGCCTCCCCTACAGATGTAGGGCCTTTTCCTCAGCCTATATGCCCCATGGGCATGAGGGGGCAACCTGACTCCAACTGAGCCTGGGGCTTCCCCCACTCCCTGCTCAGCCTGGGTCCTCTGGTGGGCAAAGTGAAGGAGTACCAGGTGGAGACCATTGTGGATGCCCTCTGTGCGAACATGCGGTCAGACAAAGAGCAACTCCGAGATATCGCTGGCATCGGCCTCAAGACAGTCCTGTTGGAGCTTCCTCCTGCAGCCACAGGTACCTACCCCTCTAGGGCCCAGGGCCCAGGGACTCTAGGTAGCATCAGTGTTTATCCCAATTTACAGATGAGGAAACAGAGCCTCTGAGAGTGAAGGGACTTACCTAAGGTCACTCAGCTAGTAAGTGGCAGAGATGAACTTCAGATCCAGATATCTGAAAAAGCCCATGGCTCTGTGGCAGCTAGGAATGCATTTAGCTGCAAGTAACAGGACAAACTAACTAACTCAGGTGAAATGAATAGGAGGTTTCTTTTTCACATGATAAGCCTGAGGGATCCGCTGTTCAATTTTTGCAGCAATTCATCTAGTAGCTCATTTACAACATGGTTGAGGTCTCTGCTCCACTTTCTTCCTTTTATAAGAAAAGCGCAAGTTTTCCCAGAACCCCCCAGAAAAATGTCCACTTATATCCCATTAGCCAGAACTAGGTCACCAAACCACTTCTAGCAGCAAGGGAGGCTAAAAAAAAAACAAATGTTTTAACTTTTCTGTGGGCATGGAAGTGTGTGTGGGCTGAGGGTGCGGTGGGCAGGTCCAGCAGGTCTGCTGTCAGTCCTCAGCTGTTCTAGCTGTCTGAATTCATGTCAAACCTTGGACCATTCAAGTGCTGACATCCATGGATCAAAGAGTGTTGGGGACATGGACTAAGGAGCACAACCAGAGCAAAACAAACTAGAGGTAGAAGTGACCTCTTCCCCCAGCCCTGGGCCTCACTGTGCTGGCCTTGTGCCTTGCACAGGCTCCGGCCTGGCCACCAACGTGTGCCGCAAGATCACGGGTCAGCTCACCAGTGCCATTGCCCAGCAGGAGGATGTGGCCGTGCAGCTGGAAGCCCTGGACATTCTCTCTGACATGCTGAGCAGGTATGGAGGCCACCCAAGGCAGTGAGGGGGGAGCGGAGGGGCCCAGATGCACTGGTCAGTACCTCCTGCACTGTTGCGCTGCAGCTCTGTGCTCGCTGGACAGTCCAGCAGCCCTGCAGAGAAAGCTCAGTCATCACAACTTTACAGGCTTCCAAAGCTGAGTGGCTTGCCCAAGGCCACACACTGAATATTGAAACATGATGAAGAACACCACAATATTAGGTTCAGTAAATGACAGCACCTAAGATTTGAACTTTGGTCTCTCCATAGCTAAAATCTATGTTTGTTTATTCATCCTTTCTCCCACCCACATCTTGCTCTTTTTCTTTTGGGCAAATGTATCTGGGCCATTGTTTTAAATTAACACTGGAGCATGGTTGATGGTTCAAGCCCACTATCTGCTCTACGAGAGAAAGGTAACATTTTCTGCTCCTCAAGGATTTACAGCGTCAGAACCCCTCTACAGTGTCACTGAGAGTTGGAACTAACTCAACGGCATCTAACAGCTGCAAACCTAAAGGTTGGTTGGGACCCTCTCAGCATCATGGCAAAATAAAGGCTTGGTGATCTGCTTCCCTAGAGATTACAGCCAAGACAATCCTGCGGCGCAGTTCTAGCATGTGACACATGGGCTCACCATGAGTCAGACTTGATGGCTACTGGCTTAGGTTTTTTTATTTGTTTTCAATTGTACTGCACTTTTTTTTTTTTATTGAAGTCACTTCTAATCTTGAAGATTAAGAAGATTTTCATCAAAAAATTCAATTTAGCACCCAAACTGGGCAGATAGACCCCTTTCTCAAGTTGTGTATGTAGATCAACATCTACATATGGTAATGATCATAACCACCAAAACAAAAACCCAAACAGAATTCATTTGCCATAGACAATGTTCTAGAAAGTTTCTAGAACAAGCAATGACATTACACTGGATTATGCAATATATCCACAAGTACACTGCACAGTTTTTAAGCATTCATTTGCTCACTCTTCATTCATCCATCCAACCTTCAGTGACCCAGTATCTGTCAGGGTGAACTCATTGGAAATGAGCATATGAGTCGATAAAACTGTGTAATAAATACAACAATAAAGGCAACAGCAGAGATGGCAGGAGCTTAGAGAAGAAACTCTAACTCAGTGAGGGGACTGAGAGTCTTCCTAGAGAGGGTCCTGTTAGACCTGAACCTTCAAGAATGGGAAGGACTTAACCAGGTAAGGGGAACACTGAAGAGAGACTCACAGTAGAGAGAATGAGGAGGAGAAGATGTGGCATCCGGGGGTCCTACAAGGTGGTTATGGAGCTAGGGTATAAAGTGAGGGGTGGTGTGGAGAGGTGAGGCTGCAGGGCTGGCGTGAGGAGTACTGTGCACAGATTTATGTGTTTGGACTGATCTTTCCACCTGGAAGTGGAGAATAGGAGGCAGGGGCTTGGATGGGCAGGGAAATTGGTTAGAAGACTTCTGAAGGCAGGTGAATTCAGGTCATATTTAGGAGCTGGGTTTCCATGGAGTTGGGGTGGTAAAAAAGGCTAATACCAGGGGCCTGGCTTTAGTAAAAATGGGAACAGACAGAGGCCCCTGGCTGCAGTGGGTGCACTGCAGAAACAGTGTGGAAGCAGGAAGATGGTGGCTTCAGTTGACTTTAAAGTTCCTGGGAGGCATCCCTCAAGGACCACAAGTGCAGGGTCTAGGGCCCAAGTCCATCTTGCTTTCAGCACAAACCCAGTCACAGAGTAGATCAATGAATAAATAAATAAATGAAGCTAGGCTCAATGGCCCACCATTCATATATCAATTTGTCCTACTGTAATGCCTTGTATGTTGCTGTGATTCTGGAACCTATGGCATTGGTATCTTAAATACCAGCAGGATCACCCATAGTGGACAAGTTTCAGATGGGTTTCCAGACTAGAAAAAGCACACACCACACACAGACTACCTCTGACTATTTACTGAAAACTTTGAGTAACAGTGGAACATCAGATGAGCCCCTCAGGTTGGAAGACACTCAAAATACTACTGGGGGAAAGCTGCCTCCTCAAAGTAGAGTTGACCATGATGATGCAAATGGAACAAAGCTTTGGGACCTTCATTTAATGATCAGACACAATGCAAAATGGGGAGAAACACAATGCAAGCATCCATTAATAATCAGAACATGGAATTTATGAAGTATGAATCTAGGTAAATTGGGAGTTGCAAAAAATTAAATGGAATGCATAAACATCACTATCCTAGGTATCAGTGAGCTGAAATAGACTGGTATTGGCAACTTTGAATCTACAATCACACGGTTTACTATGCGGGATGGTCATACTCATCATCAAAAAGAACACTCCAAGATTTTTCTTGAAATACAACTCTGTCTGTGATAGAATACTATCCATACGCCTACAAGGAAGACCAGTTAATACAACTATTACTCAGATGTAAAAATCAACCACTAACTTAACAACAACAACAACAAAAGCTAGTGATGATGCAATTAAAGAATCCTACCAACTTTGTCTCTTGTATTCCAGACATATTATCAGGAGGGACCAGTCCCTGTAGAAGAATATCATGTTTGGTAGAGTGGAGGGTCGAAGAAAAATGATGAAGACCCCCAGTGAGATGCATTGGCACAGTGGCAGCAGCAATGGGGTCAGGCAAGGCAACAATGGTGAGGTTGGCTCAGGACCAGCTGTGTTTCATTCTGTTGTGCATAGGGCTGCTTTGAGTCGGTACCAACTCGATGGCACCTAACAACAACAACAACCAACTTCTTCAGTCTGAAATTGATCAAACATGCAATCAAGATGTATTGATAATTACTGGTGATTGAAATGCAAGGGTTGGAAACAAAGAGGAAGGATCAGATGTTGGAAAATATGGGTTTGGTGATAGAAATGATGCTGGGGAGCACATGGTAGAATTTTGCAAGACCAATGACTTCTTCATTTCAAATACCTTTTTAAAGCAACATAAAAGACATCTATCTATACACACGAGCCTACCAGATGGAAAACACAGAAATCATCTCGACTACATCTGTGGAAAGAGAAGATGGAAAAGCTCCATATAGTCAGCCAAAACAAGGCATGGGGCCGACTGTGGAACAGACCATCAATTGCTTATATGGAAGTTCAGGTTCAAGCTGAAGAAAATGAAAGCAAGTCCCTGAGAGCCGAAATATGACCTTGAACATATCCCACCTAAATTTAGAGATCATCTCAAGAACAGATTTGATGCATTAGATGCTAATGACCGAAAGCCAGAGGAGCTGTGTAATGGCATCAAGAACATCATACAAGAGGAAAGCAAAAGGGCACTAAGAAAACAAAAAGGAAGGAAAAGACCAAAATGGATGCCAGAAGAGACTCTGAAAATTGCTCTCCAGTGTAGAGATGTTAAAGCAAATGGAAGAAATGAGGAGGTAAAAGAGCTGAACAGGAAATTTCAAAGGGAGGCTCTAGAAGACTAAGTCAAAAATTATAATGAATTGTGCAAAGACCAAAAGGGAAGAACATGCCCAGCATTTGTCAAGATGAAGGAACTGAAGAAAGCATTCAACCCTAAATATTGCAATATTGGGCAATATGGGCAAAATTTTGCAATATGGGCAAAATATTGGATGATGTGGAAAGCATCAAAAAAAGATGGAAAGAATACACAGAGTCACTGTACCAAAAAGAAATGATCAATGTTTAACCATTTCAAGAGGTAGCATATGATCAAGAGTCAATCATCCTGAAGGATGAAGTCCAAGGTGCACTGAAGGCATTAACAAAGAACAAGGATCTGGGAATTGATGGAATACAAATTGAAATCTTTCAACAAATTGATGTGGCACTGGAGACACTCATCCATCTCTGCCAAGAAATTTGGAATACAGCTACCTGGCCAACCAATTGGAAGAGGTCCATATTTGTGCCCATTCCAAAGAGAGGTGACTCAATGAAATGCAGAAATCATGGGACAATACCATTAATATCACATGCGAGTAAAATTTTGTAAAGTATAATTCAAAAACAGCAGCAGAAGTACATTGGCAGTTAACTGCCAAAGCTTCAAGCTGAATTCATAAGAGGGTGTAGAATGAGAGATATCATTGCTGCCATCAGATGTATCTTGGCTGAAAGCAGAGAATATCAGAAAGATGTTTACCTGTGCTTTATTGACTACGCAAAGACTTTCGATTGTGTCGATCATGACAAGCTATGGATAA